ACGAGAACTCTCCTACCCCGACACAATCAACATCCTCTCGAGAGACTTTAATTGAGATAAGCCTGAGCTTAACGATATTAAGTTTTACCATTTACTTTTATTCTTTACACTTTTGCAAGAGCTGTGTTCGAGAGATTCGAAGTTTGGTGCGGTCGCATCCTTAGGAACCATCTACCTGAGGGAGCCCCCGTTACAACCGACAAAGCAGAATTACGCACAGAAATCATACGACAACATCACAACCCTCCATATGCCGGACATGGAGGAACTGCCAAAACTACCGAATTCATCAACCGAAGATATTACGGGCCCAAGATAAGCGAAGACATCAAACGATATGTCAAGAATTGTGACATATGTCAAAGGACCAAAGACATACGACATGCACCTTATGGATTACTCAAATCAAATGAGGCCCCGGAAAAACCATGGAAGTCCAGATCGTTAGACTTTGTAACCGATTTACCTGACTCAAATGATCAAAATGCCATATTAGTAGTAGTAGATTGTCTGACCAAAATGAGTCACTTCATACCATGCAGAAAGGATCTGACAGCACAGCAGTTTGCAACCATATTCCTAAAAGAAATATACCACCTACACGGATTACCCTAAGACATCATTAGCGACAAGGGATCACTATTCACTTCCAAAGTATGCAAAGAAACAACGGAAAAATTAGGAATCGAACGACGAATGAGCACAGCATTCCACTCTCAGACGGATGGGCAAACGGAAAGGATTACCGGCATATTGGAACAATATCTTTGTGCATATGTCAACTACCAACAAGATGATTGGTATGACTGGCTACCACTAGTCAAGTTCACCTACAACAATGGAAAACAAGAAACCATTCAGAGGACTCCTTTCTTCGCCAACTATGGGACTCATTCAGAACACTAAACCATAGGTCATATGCTCCAAGGAAAGGTAATGGATAAAAGGGATATGCGTCAACTACACGACACATTACGAAACGAAATGGTCACGGCACAACTACGACAGAAGGAAAACTACGATCGCTACAGAAAACCTGATCCAAACCTAAGATCAGGAGATATGGTTTGCTTACTACCACGCAACATTAGAACCATGCGACCCACAAAAAAACTGGATTACAAAAAGATAGGACCATTCAAAATCTTGGCAAAAGTAGAAGGTCGTGCTTGTAAGCTCGACCTTCCACTGTCAATGAAAATACACAACACCTTCCACATCAGCCTACTCAAACTTTACCAAGACAACCCCCTACCGTCTCAAGAAAAAACCCCACCACCGTCTATGGAAATAGATGGTGAATCCGAATACGAACTCGAAGAAATCGTCGACTCTCAATTTCACTATGGTTGCTTGCAATACAGAGCAAAGTAGACAGGATACTCGCCTGAACATGATAAGACCTAGTACCCAGCTGAGAACTTTGAAAACGCACAAAATGCAGTCCACCAATTCCATCGAGAATACCCATGCAAGCCGTCAACCCAGCATCGAGGACGCACCAGAATCGGGGCGTGTGACGCCCATGCTACACCGCACAGCCTCCTACCATTGGGAATATCCCAAAGGAAGAGGTGCGATGACGATACCGTCAACCCTACAACCCTTACCAGGACGCGATGCGTTCAAACACATCACACCAATGAGTCTGGGATACCGGACCCCCATCCCACCGCCAGCTCCAATCAAGGAGGAGCTGAGCAACGAAGACTGGAGCAACCTGGTGGACCTCAACCGAAGGAGGACCACGACACCCGAAAGAGAACACGCGAACCTGTCATGGACAGGATGTTACAATGACGAGTGCCAAGTGCACTTCACAGAAAAGGACGGTTCAGGATATTGGCCTCGGGAATCAAACCAATGGCCACCCAAGACCTCACCTCTGGGATCACCGACGAGATCCCCCACACCAGAGCCAGTGGCTCTAGTCCAATACATACAACCGACTACGAGGACAGAGTCGAGGAGGAGGGGGGTGAAAAAACAGAAATGGGTACAACCCAGGAAAGCAAGGCACGTATCCTGGGAGAAAGAGATGGAAAAGGAGGAGTCGGAGATGACAGTAATGAAATTGTTGGCGGAAGCAGAAGAGACAAAAAAATTGCTAGAATGGCAAGCGGAGAAGATAGGACAGCTTCAGAGCAAGCTGAGGGAGGAAACGAGGATAAGGAAGGCACTCCAGAACAATTGGAGGAGAGAGGAGAAGGAGGCGGAAAGGGCCCTGATGCGAGTACGGAAAGTAAGCGCTTGGCTGAATAAGGAAACCAAGTGGGGACTAGCAGCGGACAGGGTATAGGGATTAGAGGAAAGGTTGATATAAGCCCGATGGGACTCGGGCTGGGGGAGAGGAGAGCTAATGTCACAAACTGTAACTAAGCAAGACAGATTTCACATAGCTCGGACTTCCGAGTTATAGGTATGTTGGGATTTCACATGATGCACGATAGTGCGCCATAGGTTATTATATTTACCTGTTCGTGACTCACAGTTGTGAGTCACACGATGTTATGATTTTCACACATGACTCATACTTATGAGTCATGGGTTTCACTCAGGTGACGCAAGTTGCGCACCTGACTTGGTTATTATGTTTTGATTGGTTTTAAGCATGTTGCGCAGCGACTCATAGAAGTCATCTGATGGATTTCACATGACTCATGGTTATGAGTCACAGGGTTTGCGTGATGAGAGGTATGAGTCACCCCAGGTGAAGAGCTACTATATAAAGGAGTCACTAGGACCCTGAGTATGAGCTCTTCACACGTTCTTCTTGTTTATTTCCTACCTTTAAGTTATTATCAATAAAAACCTACCTTTACGCTCTTTAAGATTTATCTTAAGAAACCCGAGAATTGTTTTTCCTCCCACGAGGAGAGATCAAGTCTGGAGTGAGGACTAAGGAGAAGAATAAGGAGATAGGCGCAAACAAGATAGTAGTCATAGGACTGGACTATCGGGATCACGTAGGCACAGGCCTGAGAACTATCACCTTATAGAGAAGTATCGTTACCTGTCGCTAGGTCCTACTCGGTAGGATTCTTAACACGAGGCAACTCATAGGAGTCAGCTGATGGATTTCATATGGCTCATGGTTATAAGTCACAAGGTTCATGTGACGCAAGGTATGAGTCATACCCAGTGAAGAGCGACTATATAAAGGGTCACTAGGGCTCCAAGTATGCGCTCTTCACATATTCTTTTAGTTTATTTCCTACTCTTATATTTTATCAATAAAACCCCATCCTTACGCTCTTTCAGATTTATCTTATGAAACCCAAGAATTGGCTTTCCTCCTATACACAAACAATTAAGTCCTGAGCAAGGACCTAGGAAGATTAAGTTAATAGGCATGATAAGATAAAAGTCAAAGGACTTAGCTATCTACATCGCATAGGCAATGGCCTAAGAACTATTAGCTTACCCCTACGTAAGTATCATTACCTGTCACACCCCAGCACCCAGTAGGATTCTTAACAGACGTGCTTTGAAATTTTGAACCGCTTGCATTACACAACTTCAGCAGGAATCTTGACACGGTTACTACGAGTGCGGCCGATAAATATATTCCTCACGTGCCTTATCTAAGGACAAATCGCAGCCAAAAGGTTCACCGGAACTTTCTTATCAGACCCACGTGACTAATATATCTACTCGAGTATCGGCCGCACTCGTAGTATTTCTTGCCGCATGGGGTGTACTCAAGTAGGCTAGATTAGATTTACATAGACCCTCCTGTTTCTGTCATGGCCATGCTGATTTTTACAAACTTTGCTACGGGTACGTTCTGGGCACTACTCCACCTGGGATCAGCGGGGTGTTTCCTATCACAATTCTTCAAATGGGCTAGTACTCAAGACTTTAAACAGCGCCAGATTTCTCAGCACTTTAAGGAGAGATCCAGCTTTCCTAATTCTGCCGTCGCATTGTGTTCTATCCCAGTGATGTGTACCGCAAATTCTGCAATCTACCGTACTGTACCGTACACGTTATCATACTTGTACAGCCGGCACCGAACTGGGGACAACCTATCACATGTTCCCTCCCCGCTGACCGAATCCGCTTTAAATCGGCTTCGGGGATCACTGGTGGGGTGCTTGGCGCTCTTCCTCCAAACATGTCGAACATTCTTTTTCCCCTACGATGCTCCTTATTCCTCTCCGGTTACCGTGATTCTCTTCTCATCCCTCTCTCTGCCCCGTAACTTCTTTTCTGGAGGATCAAACCTGGAACTTATTTCATTCCAATCTTCATCCGTACCGACCCCTCTACACCGATAGAAGTTCACATATACACTTCCTCCGCCCCCGCTACCATCCCCGCCTACTACATCTACCACCCCACAAGCATGGCCACCTCTACCCTCCGCACTGCCATCCCCAGGGGCCTTCGCCACTCTTCACTAGTTTTACGACCTAGATTACTCTCCGGACGGAGTACCTCGCGCAGGCATTTCTCCGATGTAAATCCTATGCCAATCTTCCACCTCACCGAGACAGAGGACATGCTTAGAGAATCTGTGGGCCGCTTCGCCCGGGAGGTCGTTCTCCCAAAGGTGAGAGAAATGGACGAGAACGAAATGATGGACAGGTCCATTGTAGAGCAGCTATTCGAACAAGGTCTCATGGGAGTAGAAGTTGAAGAGGCATACGGTGGTTCTGGAATGGGTTTTGGAGCGGCCGTTGTTGCGATTGAGGAATTGGCCAGGATTGACCCTTCTGTATGTAATCATCCTACTAGAGAGCGGTGTTCGGGAGGATCAGGGCGCTGATTTTGGCGACGGGGAATAATTGCAGGTCTCCGTGCTGGTAGACGTACACAACACTCTAGTCAATACTGCCTTCCGCACATACGGTTCCGCCGTGCTGAAGAAGAAGTACCTACCCAAGCTTGCCACGGGCACCGTTGGCTCCTTCTGTCTCTCAGAACCAGCGTCTGGCAGTGACGCTTTCGCGCTGCAAACTAAGGCCGTTAAGTCCGACTCCGGTGGCTCATACAAAATCACGGGACAGAAGATGTGGATTACTAACGCCGCCGAGAGTGAGATCTTCATCGTCTTTGCGAATATCGCCCCCGAGAGAGGGTACAAGGGAATAACCGCCTTCGTGGTCGAGAAGGGAATGCCTGGATTCAATATCGCGAAGAAAGAGAAGAAGTTGGGCATCAGGGCCAGTTCAACATGTGTTCTGACGTTTGATGACGTTGAGGTTCCCGCAGAGAATCTGCTTGGGAAGGAAGGCGAGGGCTATAAGTAAGGTCTCCCTGTCCTCTGCCTTTTATGCATGTTATCTGAGAACGGTGGGTAGATACGCCATCTCCCTCCTGAACGAGGGCCGCATCGGTATTGCCGCTCAAATGACCGGCCTAGCCCTGGGTGCCTGGGAGAATGCCGTCAAGTACGTTTGGAACGAGCGCAAGCAGTTCGGCCAGTACATCGGCGACTTCCAAGGAATGCAGTTCCAGATCGCGCAAGCCAGAACTGAAATCGAGGCAGCGCGCGCACTACTCTTCAATGCTGTCCGAACAAAGGAAGCTGGCGGCGCCCGTGCCGGCGAGGGCTTCGTACGGGAGGCCGCCATGGCGAAGCTTTACGCTAGCCAGGTCGCGCAGAAGGTTAGCGGCAGCGCGATCGAATGGATGGGCGGAATGGGCTTTGTCAGGGAGGGGCTGGCAGAGAAATACTGGAGGGATTCAAAGATTGGCGCAATTTACGAGGGGACTAGCAATATCCAACTGCAGACTATCGCAAAGTTGCTACAGAAGGAGTACAAGCAGCAGTAGGTGTGTGGCGAGCGGGAAGGGAGGTGGGGGAGGGAGTTCCTGTATTCATAGCATTAGAATGGTTACCAAAATTCATGCCAGCGTTCAGACCACCCATTCCTTTATTACACCTTCTATCCGATTCGGAGTTTTCGAGTCAGAGTGATATCCAATGATCATCGAAGGCAAGTCACCCATCATCACGCCCTACATCCAGAACACTACAAAGCGTCTCCCCGCCAAAATGCCTTTCTTTCTGCAGACTAACACCCTATCATACGATACAGTTCCTATCCCCACCCCACCCAACCAACAACTGCACACACGCACGAAGCGTACTTCAAGCGTCCGTAACATCAACATTCATCGCAATCACCGGTTGAAACGGGCACCGATCCTTCGCGAAAACCTCCCTTTCAATGGGGCCCTCCTGCGCCGTCTTGTTTTCCCAGAGCACCGGGCGCATGACGAGCCTGTCACCGAGGACCTTTTGGTGGTGGTACGCATGCGTCGTGCAATTCGGACAGTAATACTACTTGCTATATTAGAAGGCATGGGAGCAGGGAAATGCCTTGGAGGGGGGGAGGTGGTACGCAATCAACGGGATTTCCGCTCTGGCCGATGTAAGTGTAGGTCTTTGGGGTGCCCCTGGTCATTTGCACTTGTTCCTAGATTGGAGTGTTAGTATGTTGCGGGAAGGAGGAGGAGGAGGAGGAGGAAGGGAAGGGGGGGGGGACTACTCTTGGAACCACCATGTTGACAGAGTAGCCACCGCCGCCGAAGGACTTGCAGGTTTTCTGGTGAGATGGTTAGCTGCACCACTATAAACTTAGATGGTGAAGAAAAGAGAAAGAAAAAAAAGAAACTGGGGGAAGGAGGGGCGAGTATACACAGTGACAGATAGTCTTGTCCGGCAATGAACCATCCGGGATGCGAGTAGTCCATTGGAGTTGTCCGCACTGGCAATGTCCTGGGATATCCATTTTTTTTGTAAGGTGTATTGTTTGGATTTGGAGTAGATTTGAATATAATGTTTGGGCTTGCTTGCTTGTTCGGTCGTTTGAGTGGGGGGGGGGGTTATATTATCTGGTAGGATCAGACACCCTCAAAATACCGTGAGATCCCTCCACCAGCCGCGGAGGCGAGTGAGGTAATTTGAGTGTTTGGGATTATGGTGAATGATGCATATAGGGTGCTTTGCTTTCTTTCTATTATAAACAGAAGATGTGGCCCGTGGGGCCGGTCGACCGACGGGCGACTCAGTCAATTGAACCATGATACAGTATGATCATTCTTACTCTTCGGAAGGGTTTATTTAACAACTGTTTCCAGTATGTATCAGTGCTTTCTTTTTTTCCTGGGTGGGGGTAGGGTATTGTAGAGGGGCGAATTGTAGCGGTCTCCGGTAAGCTATCATGGCTGCAAAATAAGAGCGCCTATATGGGTTTTACAGGGTATCATAGCGAAACTTTATAGACTATTTAAAATATTTATCGTTATTGTGGGCTCACTTTGCTCTGGCCTACTCGGTTGTGTGTTAGGGTCACAAAAATTCACTCGAGAGATGAATCTAATCTTATCAGTCACCCTGCCGGCAAAAACAAAAAGAAGAGTCCCGTCCAATACTCGTAGAGACCCGGAAACCCACACCCCCAGAAATCTGCCCTCCTACCATTCCTAAGCTACATCCTCTTCTCCAGGATTTTCTCAAAACCGAGTACAACCCCAATGGTATCGATATCTCCCTCGAATTCCGGCCCAATAGCCGAGGAAGTATCATCCCCTGCCGCTAAAAAGATCAAACTCTCCGACGCTAGAGACGGTCTTGCTGGCGTCACCGACATCAAACCAGAGTAGTTACTTACCTTCCACCCCTCCTCCAAATCACTGAGTAAAATAATACCAACAATAACATTCTCCCCGCGTGCAGGTACCTCCTTCCTAAAACTCAGAAATCCGTCTCTACATCCGCAGATGACGACGCAGCCGAGGCGGGGAATGGTCCCGGAGGGAAAAAACGTAAGCGTGAGCGTGGACAGAATAAATCGAGGAAATTCCATTTTGCGAACGATGAAGTTAAGCTGTGTAACAGCCTTGTTATGGTTCCGCGGGAGAGTCTGTTTGAAGGGACTGTCTGCGAATTCGCGTTGAATGCTGGGCTGAAAGGTCGGAAGACGAGTCGGCGGGGAAAGAATGGGAATTGGGGGAAGAAGAAGGGGGAAGAAGAAGCCGAGGTGGGGAGGGGGACAGAGGAGGATGAAATTGCGGAGGGGAAGGAAGAGGAGGATGAAATTGCGGAGGGGAAGGAAGAGGAGGAATCGGTGCAGCCGGATGGGTTGTCGAAAAAGTGCGCCTTCTCACATGATCTACGGGACTATTTGAAGAGCAAGAGGGATGATTTCAAAGGTATTTGTCCGGTTTGGGAACTGAGGGGATATTGTGGAAGTGGATGGAGATGTAGATGGATTGGGTCGCATTCTCAGGAAGATGAGAATGGTGAATTATATATGGTTGTTGACGAGGCAAAGAAGAAGGCGTATGGGGAGAAGGCTGCAGGGGATCGGAAGACAAAGCTTGCCAATTCAAAGGTTATTATGGGGTCCGGAGATGATAGACCGCAGCAGTGGGAGCAGGAGGTCACTGTCGGGAGTTTTGATGACCCATATGGAGAGATTGTTAATTCTGTCCCGATGAGCCTGAAGATCCGGCTGAGGAAGAATCAATTTCCGGCCAAGAAGAGCGAGGTTTATACTGAGTGGGAATCGAAGGAGAAGACCGCGCGGGACGGTTTGGGCACCGAGGACAAGGGCGATACTAGAGCTTCTTTTGTGAATGCACCTGTGAATGCAGCAGAGAAGAGGAGAATATACATTGGAAAGGAAACACCGTTGTTGGCTCCTTTAACGTAGGTCAGGTCCTTGCTTGAGTACGATTACGATTAACGTCGGTGTGTTTCTAGAACAACGGGAAATCTCCCCTTCCGCCGCCTATGCTCTAATCTCGGTGCTGCCCTCACCTACTCTGAAATGGCCATGTCCGTTCCCCTCCTCCAAGGCCACAAGCCAGAGTGGGCTTTATTAAGGGCCCATGTCTCTGAAATTCCGAATTTTGGTGCTCAGATATGTGGCACTAAAATTGGAACGGCGGTTCGAGCGACAGAAGTCCTGACAACTTTGTTCCCATCGGCTGCCTCCTCTCGTCATGGGCTGTCTCTTGTTGACTTGAACTGCGGATGCCCAATTGACCTCGTATGCCGTCAAGGTGGAGGTAGCGCACTTCTAGACCAACCATCCAAGTTAATTAAGATGCTCAAGGGAATGAATTATGTCTCTGGAGAAACACCAATAACGTGCAAGATTAGGTTAGGAACTCGAGATTCCTCTCCCGTTGCCAAGAAGCTTGCCCAGAGGATCTACGATGCTGGGGATGTTCAGGCGATTACTCTTCATGGCAGAAGTCGCCAGCAACGATACTCCCGGGATGCCGACTGGGCCTATATTGCCGAGACTGCGGCGTTGATCAAAGATCTTAAGCAGAAGTCTGACGCAACTGCCGACACGGCGATTGATAAGGAAGCTAGAGATAAACCGAATGTCTTCTTTGTGGGGAATGGCGATTGCTACTCTCATGTGGACTACTACAACTCCATAGATCAAGGCAACGTCGATGGAGTAATGCTCGCAAGAGGAGCTTTAATAAAACCCTGGCTCTTCGAGGAGATCCAAAAGGGCCAGTATTTGGATAAGTCTGCCACCGAGCGTCTAGACTACGTTCGTGAATACGTTCGGTACGGTCTTGAATGCTGGGGCAGCGACGAACTCGGTGTTGCTACCACCCGTAGATTCCTCCTTGAATGGCTCAGCTTTGGGTGCAGATATGTGCCCACTGGGATCCTCGAGAGATTGCCTCCTCGGATTCAGGACAGACCTCCTCCATGGAAGGGAAGGAATGAATTGGAGTGCTTGCTTGGCAGCTCGGATTATAGGGACTGGATTAAGATCTCAGAAATGTTTCTAGGGCCCTGCCCGAGCGACTTTCACTTCACGCCGAAGCATAAGGTTTGCAGGGCACTGTTAACCTTGGTTGGGGACGAAAGGCTAACGGGTGGATTAGAGTAATGCACACGGGGAGATAGAGGCGGAAGGGTAGTCTGGCGATAGGCTTCGACATCATGGAATATCATATACCCGCTACAAGCGTTTCACTTTTGCAAAGTGTTGGTGTAGGGCTTAAGTGGCAGTGGGCTTGATAAAGTGTTGAGATTTATTTGTAAATTATATTCGCTCCTGCTCGACTTTGCTTGGCTATAAATATTGACCAGGACGGTTTAATAAACCCTGTGCTATGAAGTTTGTGGTGAGTATCTCGCCCTCGCGCTGCATGATAGGTTACTCGGGCTGGGTTCGCCCTACCGGTGCTGTATTGCATCTGCTCGCAGTTCAAATGCAGGTATTCAGAGTGGCTACGGTACCGGTATCGGGACCACGGGCGAGTCGTGGAGATGCAGTGGAGGTCAGGCCGCTGACCTGGGTACCGATAGACTAATAGATACCGTAAGGTGGTGTGATGGCATATCCGAGAAATTTCCGATAGGCTATCATATCATACTAATTTCCCGCAAGAGGTGTAATTACTGAATTATATAACACGGTTCCCGGAAACTTTTGCGAAGTTATCTGACGAAACCGTGGCCTTTGATTTTTGCCTTGTGGGGTGACGTATGTGTTGTCCAGGTGACATGTGGCTTGAAACGTGCAGCACCACAAACAGGGCAACGGTAAAGCCACTTTCCAAATCTCGCTCACAACTTGACACAAGCCAGTAGGGCCATCCCACAGCCCGCAGCTTCTTCCTTCCAACTCCTTCTCTTTCTTCTCCCCTCAAAAACCTTACGACTCTCTACTTCAACGGCTCCTCCTGTCTCTCACTTCGACATCAGCTCCCATCGAAACGTTGAACTACTGTACACGATACCCACGCAGTACAACGAAGCACGTGTTACCGTGCATTGACTGAGAGTTACAAATACCTAATTTTTTTTGCTCTTTTTTCATAGCGAGCCCATCATGACGCTCTACTATTCTTTGGTAATTCTACCCTTCGCTATTCGCTATTCATTGTTCAATCGGATGGACACGAGTTTGTCGTCTTTCCATATACACGTTCGCTTCGCTCTGCTGTTTACTGTAGAGCTATGACGTAACAAACAAACAAAACAACAATTTGTAACTATGGAGAGATTGCTAACGGGATAATTTTGCATAGGTATTCGTCCTACTCATGGTAGAGATGGCAGTCTACCTTCTTATGGTCTTGCCGATACCGTACTCCCCAAGGATGCGGTTTTTCACCTGGATCTCGACGAGCGCAATCGTGGGAAGGATACAGTATTGCCTTAAGGTTGGCTTTCCTTGCCTAATCGAACAAGTGACTTGAGTATTAACGAGTCCGAAATAAAAATAAAAATAGATTACCTTCGTCTTCATCTTGATACTGTTCATTGATTCCGTCAACCGCGTCTACCGTGTTCAGTCCGAGCTCTCGGATAATAAACATATGGGAGGCCAGAGCGTTATGGGGCATGAACGCATGGAGGTTCAGGCTAGGAAGTTCTATTCTCAGCGTAATATGTATGAGGGCCTCCTCTGTTGCTGCGATCTTAGGGACCGCTTTGCTAACGGAGTCGCACATAGGTACCTTTGTGGATTCACACTCTTTTTGTCCTTCATTCTTGATCGCACCTACGCTTTGACTCTCGAGAACTTGCAGCTCCATACCACCGTTAAGAACCTAAGGGGTGATAATGCAAAGCTGGCTGAGGGCGGTGCTGATGAGCTTAAGGAGCAGTTGGCTGCCGCAAAGAGGGATAACGAGGTCATGAGGAAGCAGGCCGAAGGTTTGACCAGAGAGTTCAATGCGTTGGCTGACCGCTTTGCCGATGTCAGTGGCGGAGAGAGTGTTGGCAAGAAGGAACTCTAGGTCTGGAATATGCATGCCATGGAGAGGGAGAAACGACCTTTATCTCCTCTGTTGCAGTTAGCTAGCCATCGTGATGGTATGAGAGAATTTTATAATTATTTGTGTTTTAAGGGGTTGAAAAATTTGCTTCTGGCTCATGGGTATTCATTGCTTGTGATTCGTCTTATTTTTCACTTTTCTTTGTCTCCTAAGAATAGTTTGGTGCAGAGCTATGAGAATTCGATTTCAGACCCTGGAGCTCTACGGAGGTACAGCCCATAAGTTTTGTATGTTCCACAGGGGCTAAGGGCGACGAGTCTCGCTTGTGGAACCTACAAAACTTATGGGCTGTACCTTCGTAGAGCGGTTAACTCTTCGTGGTTGCCAAGTTTACAGTTGTTCACGTGACGTTTATCAAGGTGTGAGGTTATAGTAGAATACTTTGCTTTGAACATTTGTTAGTTTATGTCACGGTGGAACTTGATCTCAAATTCTCAAGTTTCTGGTCATGGCCTTCCTTAGGTTTGCTAACTTTCCATGGACCAGCCAGCACCCCTCGTGGGACCGGTGGTCTCATCTGCGCATGGCGGACAACGTATGGTTCCAACGCCGAGGTGACTCCGCATCTTCCTCCCTTTCGCCCACAATCCTGGGTTCCGCTCCCGCTCACAAAGACTTGAGAAAGGAGGAATCTGGCCTCTCCTCCCCGCACCATTATCCTCACTCAATATCTGACAATCCTTATCTTACCCTCCGCCCTAACCTTGCGCTATTCTGAGGCAAAGGACCAACTACTCGTATCATACCGGCACACACTCCAACATGCTTGCTAACATCCGCAAACCAATTGATCTCCTCCGAGGCCACCCATCGACCCGACTTCTTGCGACAGACCTGATACGCGAGTCCGCTGATAAGGTCCTTAGCTCGGACCTTCCACAGGATAGTTGCGCCCAGAGTCGCCACCCATTGCACTACGGACCTGACCTGGGGAACGAGGACTTGCGTGTTGAGATTGGAAGATGGACTGCTGGGCGGTACGGGCTCAAGGAAGCCATTCCTGCGTATGCTTCCCATTTTCTTGGGTTGTGTTAGGAGCGTAAGGCTAATGAATGCCCTAAACCCTAGGGAGAGAATTAATATCACCCCTGGGGCGTCGTATGGGCTTATGAATACGCTTTTGCTGTGCACCAGCCCCGTGACTGGGTACACGAAGCAGGCGTTCCTTCTTAGTCCAACCTACTTTTTGGCAGCGAGTGTGTTCCAAGGTTTGACATTCCCGCAATTGTACCCGTGGCCAGGATGGGCGGGTATGGTAACTGAAGGCTACTTCTATAGACGCCGGGTTTTCTGGAAAATTGACCGCCATAAGGCTTAACAAGAATACGATTGACACCGACTCTTTGATGGCTCATTTAGAGCGTATCTCTGCCTCTACTCCAGACGTCCCGCTCCCAGGCGGCCTGGAGCCAATCTCGAGAGCTGGTGTTCCAAAGCGTATCTATAAATTTGTTATGTATTGTGTTCCTACGTACTCGAACCCTACTGGGGAGACCTGGGACTTGGAGACCCGCCGTAAGGTCGTTGAGATTGCCAGGAAGTGGGATATGCTCATCATCAGCGACGATGTGTATGACTTTCTGGGTAATGACGGTGATACCTCTGCACTTACTCCGGACAAGAAGTTAATGCCTAGACTTGTCTCTTTGGACCATGAAATTGGCGAGAAGCAGGGGATGGGGAGCAATGAAGCAGGGTATACTGTCTCCAATTGCTCGTTCTCAAAGCTACTGGGGCCAGGTATAAGATGTGGCTGGATCGAGAGCGCTACAGGAGTGTTAGCGAAGCAAATGGGCGAGGGCGGCGCTAACCATAGTGTATGTCTTATCCTTTACACCGCCCTCCCCGCCTCCCGTGCCCCTCGACCTTAAACTGACAACTATATAACCAGGGCGGCGCACCCTCACAATTTGCCTCAACCCTTATCCACCCCCTTATCACTAGCCGCTCAATCGACAGCGTGATCTCAAACCTAACAAAGACCTACACTGCCCGATGCGCCGATATTGTTACTGCCATTAAGACCTACTTTCCAAAAGAAACCACCATCTATGGTGGTAAGGGTGGGTTCTTTCTGTGGATCATACTCCCAGGCCGTTACGACGCCCGTGAAATCACGCAGCTTGCTGCAAAGGACGTGACCGTGCTCAACGGCGACGAGAGCGAGTGCCCCGGTGACAAGCTTGGCTGGGGCAATCATTGTATTAGGGTTTCAGTGAGCTACAGTGAGGGGGATGTCGCAGTGGAAGGGATCAAAAGGTTTGCGGAGGCAATGAAGAGGTGGGAGGATGGTGAGAGGAGCTCCTGAGGGGTAGACGTGGAAATGAGGTCAAAGATAGTGTGTTGCTTAGCAAAATCTTTGGGGGAATCATTTTGGAAAAGAATATGGTTGTGTAATCAGCTGGGCTGTCGAAGTGTAGGAATTCGATTGTCATCGGTACGGATTGGGCGTTGATATTTAGATATAAAAAAAAGATGGTGCTCTGACTCGGATTTGAACCGAGGATCTCCACATTACTAGTGTGGCGCCTTACCAACTTGGCCACCAGAGCGGGTGTCTGCGATTCTTCGCAAAGAACCCTTGATTCTTCAATTCTGCATACGAGAAGGGCAACCGCTAAGGTATCGTACTGTATTAGCGGTGGTCGCTGCCGTACTGTGCAAGTCCAGCACTCGATTTTCGAAGCTCGCAAAGGGGCAAAGTAAGGTGGGGCAATGAAAAAGGGAAGGGGAAAAAAAGCACGAGCAAGACAGCCGATCGGTACTAGACCATATAAACTTATATCCCTAACATCAGGACGACCATAAGTTAAAAAAAAAAAAAAACTACATAACAGAGCTCCACCCAACGGGACAAAACTCAAAGTAATCCTCACCACTTTCGCCCTGTTCCTCCCTCCCTCCCTCACTCCCTCCCTCCCTCTTCCCCTATCCACTCACAGGAACCGACCCTACCGCTATTTTATCCAGCAAGGGAAGTAAATGTCTTTCTCGTTATCTATAATTCAGTGGTGAGGTTTGTCACTAGTACAATACGGCGTGATATAGTGGATCATTACCGGTAGGTACTGTATATCGTGAGAGGTTGGGGAGATAACGGTGTGTCCATTCTTATTATACGGCAGTTCGAGTTGTTATCGTAGGGTTTTCGAATGTCATCATAGGTGAGGAGGAGATTGGGTGTGATATCGTGCCGGTGTGATATATATCAGCACGATGGTGGGGATGATGTATATATAGAAGGGTTGGTGATGGTTGAGGTTTTGTTTGATGTGTGGTATGGTATGGTATGGTATGGTACTCGTATGATATCGTGTAGGTTCACGAAGGGGGCTGGACTGATCCTGGTGCTTGTCGTTGCTCCGCAAGCTGAAACCATTTTCTTATTATCCCTTAACCTGGTGAGACATTCAGTCCAGATTGAAATGTCTAGCACTAACTTATTTGGGTAATCATGATAGGAAAAACCGCCCGCTTCAAAAGTGGTGTAGTGCTCAGAACTCTGTAAAATCTGTACTGTTCAGTATGGCCATAATGGAAGCAAGAAATTCAGCGTAGGTTTACTCCC